AGCTTGCACCCATGCTGGTGAGACTCAAGGAGTACAAAAAGCACACTGGCAACAGGTAATCTCTCACATCGCTGTACTCTTGTCACACAAATCCCATACTGGGGAGGAAATCTTAAAGGCATGTTTAGCCTTATTGAAGAACAGTCCATCAAATTAAAGTCTGAATTATTAAACCTCTGTATTGCAGAACAGTTGGAGCTGATGGAGTCCATTATGAAGCAAAGGAAATGGCTGAGGTAAAAAGGTAGAAACACAGCTGTATTTTCTGCCACAATGTAGATGACTTTACTGAGTACCTTTTCTTTGTGACTGTCTTCATTCTTCTTTCTTATGCAGTGACTTGTATGGAGCAATAACTGAAGATGATCAGCGGTGGATCACCCAGATGATGACCATCCAAAGAATTCCAGTGGCAAAAACTGCCTTCAGTGGCAACCTCAGAACCTTGGCTTTCAAAGGGTGCTTGATTGCAAAGTACCTGTCAGCTGCAATGACAGTGATGATACAGATGCTCATTAAGGGGTTTATGAAATAGCCATCTTCCAGAACCAGGTACCATGTACCTACCTTCAGCTGACAGAACTAGGATCAAGTTTTAAAAGGCAAAGAGCAGCAGGCAGTCAGCCATAGGCGTGTTGACCATGTGTACTTTTGTTTCTGTCCATTTGCTGAGTTTGCAGCAGAGCACCCACAGCGCCAACACATTCAGCAAATTGCCACGAAGCAAATCTGGGGTGTAAACACACAGCTGGACAAGTGGAAAGCTTTCACAGGCTGTGATACTGCAGCTGCTGAGGTTCATTTTGGGAGTACTAAGAGGCACAGTTCCTAGAAAAGCAGATTAAACCTTTTAGAAGCTAGACTCTTGTCTGAATCAGTGGTTAATTTAGATAGTTCAGGGCTTTACCAACAGTGACTGTGAAAATGACTGCAGAGCAGAGCTAGCTGAAGGATACTTAGTAGGGAAGGGAATGGAGCGGGACATGAGCCTGACCACTTGTGGAGGAGAGAAAAGCATTGGGTCCCATGTGGGGTAGGCTGCATGTGGAGGGCAACAGGGGAAAATGCTTGGGCCTGAGCAAGCAAACCATAGGACAGTGTTGCAGCATTTATGTGCATCTGCAGCTCTTGGCTAGCTTTGAAAATAATGCTGCTGCAAGAATCATGCCAGGAGACCTCTTCAGAGGTGAGGGAATGTACTACAGCCAATACCTGCGGCAGTTCTGTGATTTGGATAAGGAAAAAGTTAAGAGGCCAAAAAATACAAGAATCAGTCATAACAGACAACAGGAAGATCTAGCAAAGGCTCTCTCAGTCTAATGTGGCCAGTATAAAAATGAGCCTTTGAAAATACACCAGTTCCAGCCCTCTCAGTTTCTCCACCACCGTTTTGGTGTTCCACCACGGCTGGGGAAAGGCAGTGCCTTGCAGGGCTCAAATAACCATGTCTGCAAATAGCCAGGAGGAATTACCTGCTCAGTCACTGCCCTCAACTTGCTGTTCCCCCTCACCAGCTGTGATGTGATGTGCAGGCATGATGAGCCCTTTCAGCAGTGCTCCTGGTACATGACCAGTGAGGTGTCCTGCAATGTCCATTCGCTGGTGGCTGTGAGAGCAGCTATGCTGGTTGAGGAAGCACCCCGTCCCTCCTTAATACATTTTCCTAGGGTTGAGCTCCCTCTGTCACCAGTGGCACGGTTCATGCCACTCCCTTTTGATTGAGGAGCTTGCAGTAGTGAGGTAAAGGCTCATTTGCTGTGCAGCCCTGCAGCAGTTCCTCTGGCAATGGAACAGCTTTGGGTTTCCAGTGCCTGATACCTCACTCAGCAATGCCCACAGACATTCATTGGCCAACAGGCTGTGCTCATTGCTTGAAGGGGACTCACTGGCATGAAGCATCCTCGGGTCTTCTCTCTGTCTTCTAGACAGACGTTCCTGCAGAAGCTGGCATGGGTACTGCTCCCTGCTGTCACTCTGCTGAGCTCCCGGTACCATTCACAGAGCTGCTGGAGAGGTGAGCCTACTTTGTAGGCTTTTCCTTGCATGTTGTTTTTTTTTGTTTGCTTTTTGTTTGTGTGTACTTCATCCCCCTTCCACCTCCCCTACAGCCTGAGTTTTTACAGCAGCATCTATTTCCTCAGTTAAAGTTTAAGCCTTTGTCAGCATCTTTTCCTTTTAAGGGACAGAGAGATTCTGTCTTGCTGGAACATCAGCAGAATGCAGTGGTCCAGCTCTGCTTGTTGGAGCGCTGATGGACTGTGGCTGCTGCCTTCTACTGTTGTGAGCCAGGCTTCTGTGCAAGGAAATCGGAAAGATGTGTGGATAGCAGTGTTGCTGTCCTCATGGTTTGCTATTCCAGTGCTGTGTGGTGGCCTCTAGTTTGTTGTGAGTCAGGGTCCATGGTTTGTTGTGGCAAAGGTGCTGTTTCATTTACTGGGAGCGCTCATGGTTTTGTTCTGACTGAAGACAGGTGTCAGAAAGCCACCATTAACATCATCCTAACTGGACATGTAAAAGAGATGCTAATGTTTGTCCCAGGCAGTATCTGCATCTTCAGGTAATCAGAAAGTTCCTTGCTCATCTTAGGGTTGCACTGTAAGCAGCCTGTTGTAAGGCAGCTTTTGTACCATGTTAGCTATGTCTCTTTTCACAATCTCTGGCATAAGTTCAGCATTAATAATAGAGGACTCTGAGGTATAATGGTGGTGAATGAATATTTATTTATAGATATAATACTATGAAATAGCTTTATTATCACTTGCAAAAGAATGCTTCCTTTTCTGTTTTCCTGGCAGTCAGTGCAGACAACAGAAACTGTTCCTTCATGATGACTGGGATTGTGAAGTCAACAAATTTCTATTTTACAATGAGGAAGAGAAACACCTAATGTTTTTAATTTAGAACATGAACAGTGGAGGCCTCAGTTTGCTTCCTGCAAGAGAGAAGCACTCACTTCATACAGCAGCAACCTTGGCTGTGTGTAGGAATGCCAACTATAAATGCTTTAGCACATTTGTACTGGTTTTGGCACCGACAGGCAGTAAGCAGGCGGCTGCGTGATGCTTAGCTGCTGGCTGGGGTGCAACCATGGAAGCTGTTTAGCTTATTTAACAGAGTGCCTTGTCTGTGATCCTTCCTGGGTTTGAAAACTCTACGCTTGGGGAAGAAACTGCTCTGAAATTCTTTGGTTATAAAGCAGTAGCAAATGGTATCCCAAGAGCAGCTTTTATTTGCCATCCTGCAAGGCCCATCCATGAGGCCACAGGAACAAAAGCTTTACTGTTCTGTATTTCAGAGTAGACAACTTCAACAGAGCTCACTGGAAATGGGGCAAGGTTCCCCATGTTAACAGGCAGAAAACATGAACATGACAGGGTCTGGAGAACGAGTATGTAGTTTTGCTTTCTGGGTTAACAGTAGGGTAACAGGTTGATACGGCTCAGCCTTCATCTCTCTTCAAATTAATTAACATTTTCATAATAATCTGTTTGGAACAGGCATTCATTATAACCAATGAGATGCAGAAGCCCAGAAGGGGATAGAGGTCCTACAGCAAAGAGTGTTTTTGAAGGCCCTTTGTACTATTTCTGAATACAGAAGATGTCTTCCTTGCCGAACACCTCTTGCCTGGACATGTAAGTGATGCCTGTCATGGGCATTGACAGCACACCATAAAGGAGAATGGGCTAACAGGGACCCTAAGCCCCTTGCTTTCCAAGGGTAGTTAATAGCAGTGTATTTGCTGACAGCTACAAGGGTGACAACACTCATGCATCTCCTTAAGCAATGGATGATTCTAAAGTTCAGACACAATTTGTGTCTGGTTTCTTTTGCTCTCTTTGAAAAGAGACTTTAAAAGGCAGAATGAGGGCCAAGCAGTGTGTGCTGTGATTAAGTTGGTCACATGTGCTCTGCTTGCAGTGAAAGATCATCAAATGTCAGAGCATTAAATAATACATCAAAGAAAAGTGGGACATAAATGATCAACTGACTGACCTGAATGGTTTCATCCATTTTTATGCTGGGACCTGTGCCAGGGTATTGACACAAAGCAGTTAGATCTGATCTTTGGATGAGGAGTGTTTTCTGTGATGGGAATGGTGGTTTCATATGCTGTTTGGCCGGTGTCTAGACAGTGGTTTCAGCATGTGGTCTGCAGACACTAGAAGGTGACAGGACACTTTTAGGGAAGCTATCTGTATGCTGTCACCAAGAAAGTTAGCTGTCTGTAGGTTTAAATGAGCAGAATATGGATTTGCATTAGCTGGAGGAATGTTTAGGTATTTACAAGACAGAAGGCGCTCGGAGTCAAGGGCCATGAAGCCAAAGGAGATACAGCTATCACACGCATTTCAACAACTCTATAATGTTTCCCATGCTGACTCTATGGGGCACTTTCTTCTAGTGCCCCAGGATTTCCATTTGTGGCTTAACTGTTTTGAGCTGCTCTGTTGTCACTTCCCTGTGGGGTGGGAGGGTACGCAGTGCATAGCCAGCAAGGACAGGTTTGTAGAGGTTTGTAGCGGGAAAGCCAGACATTTAGTTGATGCATGGTCCAGGATCCAGCTAGGAAAGCTTAAGGTTCTCTGTATAATCATAGAATGTTTTGGGTTGGAAGGGATCTTAAAGATCATCTATTTCCAACCTTCCTGCCATGAGCAGGGACACCTTCAGGGTTAAATGTCTCAAAATGAAGTGTGGGAAAGCTGTTGAACCCCTGCTGTCCACTGTCCAAGCAGCTGAAAGAAAAAGCAGGAAATCCAAAGCAATGCTTCATCACATAGGGCAGTGACAAGAAGCCCTCAGCTGTGGGTCTGTGCTATCTGTGCAGAAGGGCCTCACACACCTCACTCTCATCAAGCCTCCCCTGAAAGCTGTGCATGGATTGTAAGGCAGGGATCATGGCTGCATCTGCTTCATGTTGCTCATTGCTGTTTTCTGGGCATCGACATTCATGCAACATGAGGCTGTGGCAACTTGAGCAGATGCAATCCCTTCTCACCAGTCAGGACACCTACTGAGGAGCTGATCCCATTGAAGTACAGCAAACCTGTCACCAGGGCTTACAGCAGTTGCTTGGGTGAGATCAGGTCTTCACAGATTTATACCTGAGAGGCACAATGCAAAAGTTCTGCTCTGGGGTCTACAATGCTTTGTGGGGCTCTGTTTTTCCACACAGTAATGGCTTTATTTATACCCACAATGGTTTTAGTTCCACAAACGCCAGGGTGTTGCCACAAGCTGATACAAGTGTTAAAGGGCAGGAACAGGCAATAGTCTCAGGCCACTGTCTTTACTCCATGCACAGCAATAGCTGTGTCCTGGTGATAGTTGCAAGCTTTGAAATCATATAGGCTGGCAGGGAACTACCAGTGTATGGGTTGGTGTGAGCAGCACAGATGTATTAGGTTTGACATTGTAGTACATGTTTGTTTTTTTTCCTTGGTTTTAAGTGACCACCTGTATAACAGTACCAGAAGTGGGTTTGTGTATTGTTGTATGGGTGCTCAGTTTCCTAGGTTTAATTGCATGTTATGTACCAATAAGTGCATGGTGGAAACAGTGGCCTTATCATCTATTCTCCATCCCACATGGCTCTCCCACTTGAAGCTGCAATACAATGGTCTAAGACTATGGTCAATGCTGGAGTCAAGTCACTGAGGACAGAAGGACAAAATTCAAGTTAATATCAGACCCCTTGGAAGGGATTGCCCCTTTTTGCACATATGCCTGTAGCTACAATGATTGCAAATACTGTAGATGGTCCTATTCCCTCTGCCTCAAAACTTCATCAGCCCTGTGGCTCTGAATACCTGTAGTGTGCTACACCTTGTTCATGTCATGACTTGATCTGTGGGTGACGGGGATTCTTGGCTTTGGTTCACCTTGCACCTCATCGACAGGCAAGTGGGGAACAGAGAAGGAAACTCTTGAAATTCTGTAGCTGCAAAGTAATAGCAGAATGCATCCAAACAGCAGTTAGAGTTTGCTAAGCATGCACAGATGTGAACACAGGCGCTAACTTTCGAGAGCAGAGAACAAGCTCCAGCAACATCCACTGCAAACCGCAAGAGCACAGCAATGTAGAAGGGTGCAAAACATACGGTGAACACACACAGATTCACAGAAATAATGCGGATTGCTCTCTGGATTAATTTTGTCTCATGAGGACTCGTGACCATCTTCTTCTTGAGACATCTGATGACTTGTACTGAGCAAAAAGTCACAATCACTAAGGGAATAAAATAGCCAAAGATGATGGACACCAGTGCTGTGTAACTAGGTTGAGTAGACTGTTTCCGAAAGCAGAATTTTTCCTTTTTGTTATGAAATTGTGGACTCAAGTAGGAATAAATCATTAGTATTATCCAAAGAGCCCCACAGATGGAAGCTGATTTCAGTGGGGATCGAAGAATCTTTGCTTTTAGAGGGAACTTGATGGCAATGTATCGATCAATCGCTATCAGGGTGATGATCAGGATGCTCATAGGCATGTTTGTAAAGTAGATCCTTTGTATGGCGAAACACAGGTTGTCTATGGGATGCTCATACGTGGTGAAATATATCAAGAAAGGCAGGGCAAAGAGCAGGAAACTGTCTGCGACTATGAGGTTGATCATGTACACCCTGGTCTCGGTCCACCTCTTGAGTTTGCAGCAGAAGACCCAGAAGGCAATCACGTTCAGTGGGATCCCCAAAGAGAGCACTGGGATGTAGACTGTAAGTTGAAACAGCGCAATGCCACTCCGCATGTTGTTGTCTTTGGTGCAGTTCTCCATGTCGGGTTGTCTCTGTAAGACAAGGGGGCAGGCATGAGACCAAGCTTGGGGACAGGTTGTCTGGGCTGGGGCCTGCTGCAGTGCCCCACTCTCATGGCTCTGGAGCTCCTCCTGCCCTTGCACTGCAGATCAACTCATCAGAACTGAACACAGGATTCGAGGTGTGGCCACACCAGTGCCCAGTACAGGGGGATGATCACTGCCCTGGCCCTCCTGCCACACTATTGCTGATACAGGCCAGGATGCTATTGGCCTACTTGGCTGTCTGGGCACAAGCTGGCTTATGTCATGCTGCCATGAACCCACTATCTCTGCAGGATGTTGGGGAGGAATTCCTCAGCATTAAGTACCACCAGCCCTAGCAGATCTAGTCCGAGGTCTCCAAAGAGAGAAGGGAATGTGAGCACAAGTCTGATCTCAACCTTCAAAAACAGGAAGCTAACATGTTGCTAAAGCAGAAAACACAAAACCAAGAACTTAGACTATCTCCTGGTATTCCTTTAAATATTTAAGGTGTCTTCTACCAGCAAGGAGGCTGTGAAAGATGAATTGGACTTAGTCTGGATCTCATAAAGGAAAAGTTTACATTAAGGCAGGAGAAGAAAACACCCAGATTCCTACAATCTCTTACAAATACATTGCCTTATAAGTCAGCATCTTGTAAGCATCCACATTTAAACTGTAGTGAAAATGCTCAGTTGCATGAACTGATTGAACTGGTTTTAGTGTCAGAGACTTGAAAACGGAGCTGGCAACCACAGAGGAAAGCACAGCACCTGCCCTAGCCCCAGAAGTGGTATGTCATTACTGAACCACAGGGATACAGTCATTTGTAGGGTGGAATTTATGGAGGAGCTAATATAGAGCCGGTGTCCTGGCTCTCTTGGGCTTCCAGTCTCACAGGTCCTTGGCTGCATTGCAGTACCATCTACCTTGCAGCCGTTCCCTGCTAGCCTACAGTGTGCTACAGTGTGCCTGGAGCTGGGTATCTCATGGTGCACAGAAGAGGAACTGGTGTGAAACCAAAGTGAGGATGAAGGACTCCCCCCCCGAAGACACAGGTGGCTGGAAAGCAGGAGGACACCAAAGCGTCTGTGTGCGTGTGAGGATTGACAATGGTTTGGGCTGGAAGGGACCTTACAGCTCATCCAGTTCCAACCCCCTGCCATAGGCAAGGACACCTTCCACTAGAGCAGGTTGCTCCAAGCCTCGTCCCACCTGGCCTTGAACACTGCCAGGGATGGGGCAGTCACAGCTTCTCTGGGCACCCTGTGCCAGCGCCTCAGCACTCTCACAGGGAAGAACTTCTTCCTTACATCTAATCTCAATCTCTCCTCTGTCAGTTTAAAGCCATTCACCTTGTCCTGTCACTACAGGCTCTTGTCATAACTCCCTCTTCAGACTTCTTGTTGATACTGGAAAGCTGCTCTAAGGGTCTTCCTGGAGCCTTTTCTTCTTCAGGCTGAGTCTCTCAGCCTGTCTTCATAGGAGAGGTTTGTTACAATAATCTTGGGTCTCATGCATGTATGCTAACAAGCAGGCTAGCGCTTTAGTTAAGAGGTGAGACAGCATATTCTGTTCTGAGCAGAGCACACTTCGGTGTGGGGAGAATTAAAAGCCATTACCTGCTGCTTGTGGGACCGTCAGCGTGGTTTGATCCTCCTTAAGGTTGCAGTGTAGATGCAGGTGTTGTGACAGGGGAGAGGACGTGCCAGGTCCGAGGGTATCAGCGCAATATGCTACTCCATGCAGGGCACAGCTGCCCCAGAGCCTGTTGTCGGCAGCTGAAACACAGCAATGAGCTCTTGTTCCCCCAGAGTGCTTCATTTATCACTTAGCTTTTGGGACAGCCGGGTCTCTGGTGCCCTCTGTTGTTCTGCTCGCATCAGCTGGATGCTTCACCGCCATCCTCACCCACCCAGACTGTGCTCCCCCACTCGCCTTACACAAACCCCAGCAATTAAAATTTAATGTTTTCAGTCTTGGGAAAACAAATGATTTCTGAAATACAACCCATAATGGTTGCAAATTGTCCTTCTGGCAGCAAAAGGTCCCGCAGGGAGCACAGCAGGCTGGGCAGCCGCCAGTGTGGTTGCAAAGTGTGTGTGGTGGGGGGGGCCAACAGCCTTTCTGAGGGGACACGTCAGTGCTTGTGCACCCCGTGATAGTGAGCCCAGGGTGAGAGGTCCCAGAGTGCTTCTCTTCAGCGTCTTTACAAGAAGGGTGGCAGATGTTATGGGCTGCCTTATCCTCTGCAAAGCAATGAAGTGTCTAACACTGCTCATCAGCACCACTGCAAAGCCTGAGCTGGTAATGACAGTCACTGGTCAGAGATGCTGGTAAGGCAGTGAGCACACTGTCAGGACCTTTAGAAACTGTTTTAAGTGCATTCACCAGTGGGACTTGACAGTTATTTTGATGGGTCTGCTGTCTGTTGGCTGCAGCAGTTGCAGTCTATCTATGGGAGTCAGGTTCTAGCTTCCTCAGGATTTGTCCCATTAATTTGTGTCTCCTGAACTCACATTTCCAAAGGTGACAAGAGCAGATTGAGCAGCAGCAGATGCAGGTCACATGCATGGGTGGCAAAGGTCTAGACAGAGATAAAAGGGCTTCCTTGGGGGGGGAGCAGCAGCCCCTAGAGGAGGTGTCTGTGCCAGGGCTCAGCCCTGATATCTCCTCGACTTTGTGCTTTTATGGGACCAAATAAGTCTTGCTTTCATCCTTCTCATCTATCTGATGCATTGACTTGAAGAGGAAGGACAGTTAGAGTCTAGGGTGTTTCGTAGGGCCATGTCCTTAGTAAGATGCTGTTACTGCCTGAACCCTTCCCCTTCCCCACCAAAGCAATATGAAATAAATAAACTGGATTAATTTAATAATGCAAACAGCCTGAAATACACAGTGAGGTAAAAGATGATATATTCTTTTTGTATGTATTGACAGTAAGGATTGATAGACTTTAGATGTAAAAAAAACCAGGGAGATGTACATGGTTCACTTGTATTCTCATAGGAGTAACTGGAGGGTGGAATGGAGACTTGTTAATGACCAGAGATTACATACACACTTTCACACAGCTCTGTGAAATTAATAGAAGCATAGGGTGTAATTTGCAATTCACTTAGCAGTGCTAAACCTAACAAAGACCTTGTGCCATCCCTGGAGACATTCCAGGCCAGGCTGGATGTGGTTCTGGATAACCTGATCTAGTTTGAAGGTGTCCCTGCTCATTGCAACAGGATGGAACTAGATGAGCTTTGAGGGTCCCTTCCAACACAAACTGTTCTATGATTCTATGATCTCTTCAGAGAGAAAGGGTAACAGTTATCCTAATAACACTGAGGATGTGTCTTCTCTTGATGTTGCAGAGATACTTGGTTTCATTGTTTTGAGTTTTTCAGCCCTCTTGCCTCCCTCTTTCCACTCCTTGCTTTTCTTTAGCAAGCATGTGGCTGCAAGGGGTGGGTTTGATCTGTTTTATCACTGCTGGTTTTGGGCAGTAGAAGGGCTTCATGGAACTCCTTGGTCACAAAGTAGTAGCAGACACTATCCAGGCAGCAGTTAGATGTGGCAATACACCTTGCCACAGAGGAGAGGTTCTTCATAACCTGCAGCATGAAACAGGTAGCTCCAACTGTATCCATGACGAACCCGGCAAGTAACCCAAAGAAGGCTGGCAGAAAACATACTAGAAACACAATCAGGTTTGCGTAAATAATGTGAACAGCTTTCTGGATTGATTTCTCCTCTGGTGAATTGGTGTTCAGGCTTCTCTTGAGGCTCCTGATCACTTCTGTGGAGCAAAAAGTCAAGATTGCTAATGGAAGAATAAAAATGAAGAACATGGAAATCAGGCTCAGAGCAGCAGGCACGGAGGTATCCTTCTGGAAGCAGAGGGTGGATTGGCTCTGCCAAATCTTTGCAGTGGCACCGACTACCACAGAGACCCACAGAAGCCCACAGAGAAGGGCTGCTTTTGATGGAGACCTGAAGGTCCTGGCTTTCAAGGGGTGTTTTATGGCAATGTATCGGTCAATGGAGACAAATGTAATTACGTAGATACTCACTAACATGTTGATGAAATACGTTGTCTCTATAAACTGGCAGAGTTTGTCTCGGGTTGACTTATTCCAGAGCAAATAAGCCATGAAAGGCAAGGTGCAGATGACAAAGCAGTCTGCAAAGACTAAGTTGATAACATACACCCTTGTTTGTGTCCACTTCTTCATCTTGCAGAAGAACACCCAGAGGGCAAGGGCATTAAACAGAGCTCCAAACAAGAAAATGATGCTATACAGAGCAAGTTCAATGAGGCGGACATGGTGATAAAGTTCTAGACTTGTGATACTGCAGTTGTTGGACACATTCATTATCCTGTTCTGCAGAAGTTATGTGATGTTCTGAGACCTGAAACAAGAAAAGACATGGTAACACTTTCCTCCCACCCCTTAACAGATGCATATCCTATAAAAAAAAGGGTGTTTAAGTAAATGTTTACTTTGCCCATCACAAATGTGAATTTCAGTCTACAAAGCTGGCCTTCTCAGTCAGCCTCTAACTGGGATGCTTCCTTTGTCAAGCTTTGTTTATGTTTACTCAGTTTAGGAGTAAATATTTCCAAGTACATTTCCAATAGGCCATGGCAGACAGTCTTTATTAAATAGTGGTATCTTGCATGGACGGATGGAATATCAGTGAGAAGAAACCCCATAGATAGTGAGGGCATCCTGTGACAATGGGATTCCTTTAGCCAGGCTGTGCAAATGAGGCAAGATTACCCTTAGCCTGGTTACGAACTAGGCAGAGATTGCAGCAACCAAACCTAAAGTCCAGCACAACCCATGAGCAAAAGCTCTTGTACCAGGTCTGCTGGCTTGGGAGACAGAAGAGTGGTGTGAAGGCCTGCAAGGGCATAGCAGATGTCACTTGGGGCATGTGCTCATGCTCTGGTTCTAACTGGGCAGGTTTCTGAGCCTTTGGGCTCCCTCCTAAACCTGGAGCTCCTGCTCAAAGCTGAGGAAGAGAGATGAATCTGAGTTCCTGCACCCCAAAGGCATGCTTGAAACCCTAAGTGAGTGATTGAGGCATGGAGCTGTCCACTCCTTGAGAGGGCAGCGAGGGGTGCAAGAATTAACCTGATTTTAAGCACATGCATTCCAGGAGAGAGCTCAGTTCTGTGGATGTGAAGCAGACAGACACACCTGAAAGAGGGAGCACCAATGCAGAACAACGAACTTGCCATTAAGGGCTGCATGAGATGGCTCCTGCTCAAGGCAGGCATCTGGCCACACTGGAAAGTCCATGAGATTTAAGTAGTAGCTACTGAGTCTGTGTCACACTGGCTGCAGGATGTTCTGCGAGAAAATTGGTTATGTGAAGAGTGTGAGTTCATGGGCTGATAAAAATCAGCTTTTATCAGACCCCATCCTGTGCGCAGTGGCTCTATGTGGCATGCAGAAGGAACAGTTCTCTGAACTGGTGTTTCTGTGTATGTGTCACTGAATTTCTGCTTGCATCTAAATGCACTTTGGGAAGAATTTAACCTTTAAATTTGAAATATGTTTTTTGCCATTCTAACAGGAGACTGAAGTAGTGAAACCCTACAGCTTTCAGGGATTTAGGAAGGAACACCATGACTGGACAGGCCTGGTTAAGCAGTTATTTGCCTCTGCAAGCAACTCAAACCTCCTTGTGGTCAGTTGGTGAGAGCACTGCCTGCAGAATCAGACTTCAGTGACTGATAAACACACAATTCAATTGCTGGGGGATATGTGAGTGTCTTGGGCACTCACAGACACTAACATGACTCCTGCATAGAGCTCTCTCCATTTCTTACGTGCTCAGCTCTGGGATTCCCAACAGAGGCTTGCTGCTTGCTGCTGTACTCTGGAAGGAAGCTGTTGGCTGTCACCTGAGGAAAAACTCTCTGAACTACAGGAAGTAGCAGTAGGAAAAAACCTTACATCGAAGGCTGAAGCTGCCACATTGTTACGCTCATTAACTGCATGAGGCAGATGTCTTTGCTGACATGGCTGATGCTCTGGTTGCTTTCATCAGCCCAGGTCTGCAATGCCAGAACATCCTCCGTGCTCAAGTATAAGGCAGGCAAACCATGCTGGTGTGCTCTGCTTCATGAAAGGGCTGTGGCTGACACCCTTAGAGCTGGTGTTGTGCCCCAAATGCAGTTGCCAGCATCAGGGCTCAGAAATGCTCCAGGCAGATCAGAGAGTGGTGGGAGGAGGGAGGAAGTGAGCAGAGTTTTAAAGCAGGCCATGTAGCACAAATGGGGTATGGCTGAGCACAAAATATCTTTACAGAGATGCAGTTTGATAAGGTAGCATATCCTGTGCTGCTGGAAATGCTTACAGTGGGGTAGATAAGGTGGCTGCAGGATCAGAGGAGCTAGGCAGCAGCATGCAGCTGTGAGAAAAGGATGGAGATGGCTTTAAAACAGCATCTTGCAGCTGCTGGAGGAACAGGAACAGGCTGGGGCTCAAAGGACAAGGTCATCAGTATTGTGTGTGTCCTGCTTTTCCCCACCATAGACTGGGGAGAACTGGGCAGTAGCCATCCCCCTCCATGGAAGGCCAGTGTGGGTTTGTTTCCTCCAGCAGCTCAGCGAGTATTGGGCTCCTTCCAGACCCTTAGCAGAGCTTGGAGGAAGAGAAGCAAGGCAGAGGCTGAAGGCACTGTGGGTGCCACAGTAGCACCACAGTGGCAAACATCCAGTGGTTTTCCCAGCAGGATGCCCATGGAGAAGCAGATGCACCAGACCCCTTGCATGTAAAATTCTCTTCCTTCCTTGTGCGGGGAGCTTGGAAGTGAGCAGGTACTGGAGGGGTTAAGGGTGACTGTGGTGGATGAAATGATTAAGTACAGCACAGGAGATGTGTTGGGTGAGGGAAGGGACCTGAACTGAGCAGAGGGAGAAGAAGGAAATGGGGTGGGAAGCATGGTGTACAGCATGGCACTTTCTGCATTAACTGCCTTCAAACCTGCCACATCTGTGGCAACAGCCCTGGTTTTCCCTCTCAAAGGGATGGGTAACTGCCAGCAAATATGCAATATGTATGCTGCACAGGTATGAGACTGGACTTAGGCAAGGCAGTAACTCACAGGGGTGTTAAAGTAAGTATGGGCACCGCTTGCCAGACCCTGGGCAGCAAGCTGACCTGGGAGGGAAGTGAAACACAGCAAGAAAGAGTGAGTGGACACACTGCCTCTGGGGCAGAAGAGCTCTAGGGGAGGGCCACAGCACTCAGATGAGGGGCTTTCCCTCTGTTTCCAAACAGCATAAAGAAATCTGGAAACTGCCTGCTCTGACCTTGCTGCTGTTGGTCACAGCTCTCAAACACAATGATCTAAGGCATAGCACTTTGTTCTTTTCTTTGTTCAAAACTTGTGTTCTTTCAGGGTCATCTGTCACTGCATCTCTTGAAAGCAGTAATGTCATCACCCTAAGCACAGAACTGCTTTGAAAGATCCTTGGAGTGGGTGCAAAGATTCACTTGGTCAAAAAAAGGGAAGTTTTCTGAATCAGTTGTTTCCCATGTTAGGATGAATTTAGTTTCCAGTTCCCAGCTCCTGTTAGGAAATAATGTGCTGTGATCTTCCAGGTAAAGTGCCCAGAGGATACCCTGGAGTAAGAGCACAAACCGAAAGAGATGACGACCTACTGCACGGATGTCTGCCCAGCAGAAACCAGGTACCTGATGCTCCTCTGCCTCCCTCCAGCCACAGCAGGACCCTGAGCAGCAGTTCACAGAGAGAAAGAGAGAATAAACCCCAAGTGCTATTACCTGTAGGTTTAGGGCCGCAGATCAGCAGTGGGTGTCAGCAGAGGCAGGACACGTGGGGGCTGCGCAGCCATACAACCCGGCCAGGAGGAGTGGGGCCAGCACGTGGGGCTGCAGGTTGGGCACAGGCTACACGTGCAGGGCTGGTGCCCAGCACCAACAGCTTGCTGGTGCTTAAGTGTTTCTCTGGCACCTCCTCCTGCACAGGAGATTTTATTCTGGTTTGGTCTTGAATGTCGGTCTGCTGGCTAAATAAATGGTGGCAGAACTTTCCACTGAGGTCAGGCGTCTCATCAATCAGCACTTCCTAAACCGGTGTGTTTGGTGGCTAGCAGTGGTGCTCAGCAGCTGTGCTGAAACCTAAGCTAAGCAAGGTGGAAGATGTGATATCTGGTATTAGACCATTCCATGCAGGGCCCTCTACCTGAGTGCTGGATTGGGTTGTGCTTGCACAGCTCTGGTCAGGGAGGTGGGAGCACCAAGCACCTTGGCACACAGTGTAGATTCTCTCTAGGCTGAAGAAAATCTCCTCAACCCTCCTCAGATGGAGGCTGCTGCACCAAAATGGCCTCTTGAGATGGGTTGGTGCCCAGGGCAGGGATGGAGCTGGAGATGGTCATGACGGGGCCAGTGGCAGGGCTGCGGCCTGCATTCCTGTTTGAGCACAGGCTTCAGGCTGGCAACTGAACCAAGGCCTTGGCATCCCACATGGGTGGCAGAGCCTCACTTCTTGTACCCTGCATTGACAGAAATAGAGGGGGTAAAGGAGAACTGTAGGCCCTGAAGGGCTCGGTGGTGGGCTATTTAATTGGTCCTGAAGATCAGCATGCAACACAGCTGGGGGGGAATTGTCTCACTGCCTATTCACTCTTAGTACCTGACCAGCTGAAACACTTCATTGCAGTGATGCTAATGGTGGTTGGCTGCTCATAAAATAAGAGGAAGGGTGTTCTGGCTATGTGAGATGTGAGAGGAGAGAAGCTGCTGGCTAGAGCTCGATGGTGACAGCATGCAGGCACTGGTGTTGTGAGTGAAGGATAGCAGGATGCAGAGAGGTCCCAAGTGTCCAGGTACCCAGTGGCATCAGGCAGATGAAGTGCTACAACACAGCTGGCCATGAAGGCTGTGCAGAGGAGAGGACCCGAGTGCGACCAACCAGTCAATTCCTTATCCAGGGAGTGGTCCATCTGTCAGATCCATGCCTCTCCAGTCTAGATGTCATGTGGGACAGTGTCAGGTACCATGTGTGTGGGACAAGTGCGGGTGGATGACATCAGTTGCTCTTTCCTTACCCAGCCATGCTCTAACCAGTGTTATCGGTGTAATCAGTAAGTAAGGTGGGAGCTACATCAAATGTCTCTGCACCACATGCTGGTAAGCCCCTCAGATACCATCTGGCATTTGTGAGGTGCTGTGGTGGAGCGTGTTTATGTGAAACACTGCAGTAGCTGTTTGGGTTGCAGCACGGAAGAGGGATGGGAGGGTCACTGTAGGTGTTTAAGGCCAGAAAAGATGAGTGAGGAGAGCCCCAAAGAAAAGCTGTGGGAGCCATTTGCCTGTAGTATATGCGACTGTGTATCCCAAACAGAGGCTGATGCTGTTAGTTATTTTTGACTGACAGCCCTAGCCTATCATCCTGCCTTGTTTACAGAGTGGTGGAGGTTGGAAGGGGCTTCTTATGTTTACGCTAACCCCTTGCTCAGACTCCTATGCCTTGTCCACTCTGGTTTTGAACCTCTCCAAGGATATCTCTACAAATTCTTTGGGCAACCTGTTTCAGTGATCACCCTGAGAGCAAACATTTTCTCTTAATGTTTAAATGAACTTTCCTATCCTGTCTTTCATTTTGTGCCCATTACCTTTCACTGTCACTGCTGACAATAGCTCCCATCTCCTTCCCAGGGATCGAGGTGAGACTGACTGTCCTGTAGTTGCCCGGCTCTTTCCTGCCTTTCCTGAAGATACAGGTGACAATTGGCTACATTAGCAGTGTTAAACTGAAGAGCACACCATGAGTGCCAGCTCACATGCAGATCTGGCTGTAAAAGGAAAGGAGATGAGCAGCAGTAGAAAATTACTTTGGGCAAGGAAAGTAAAAGAAGGATTTCCTATGGGAGATGTCAGCTCCACCTGCATGTCCAAAAAATCTGGTACAGTGCCTGGGATGGGAGCAGTTCCAAATAGAAATGCACTGTGTGCTTGCTGCAGCCCCTTGAAGCTGCAGAGGGGATGCACTGACAGAAGGGAAGCAGAAGGACAGGGATACACATCTTGCAGATGGGTAGGCAAAGTTTTGAACTCTTTCATGGCAAGTGGAGAACAAAAGCCACAGAACAGTGGGGAAGGGAACAAATACTTCCCTGGGGCTTTGGGGGGGGGGGGGGAGTGATGCTTTGGTGCAGTGGTTTGCTTCAGTGTCTGATGGTGTGGCACAATGGAAAAGATGCAGTGAAACCATCAAAGCACCATGCTTTCCCTTCCAGGGCAGACGTGCTGATCAGTGTGATTGTATCTGCAGAGTGTGAGACAGCATTGAGATGAGTCACACAAGTGTCAGCTCTGCAGACACCCTGCTGTCAGCCCCCGGAGCCAGCCTGTGCCTTCCTGAGAGCCTGATGCTGCTGGACCAGGCGCTATGGAGAGAGGCAGGCGAGCTGCTGCTGGGGCAGAGATGATGTGAGAGCCTGTCGAGACCCTGTAGACAGGCTGCCGCACACCCTGTTGCAGAGAATGTTGTACAGCATTGGGTACTAGGGTGGGAAAAGGTGCAGAATCATGTGCTGCTGTAGGGCTAGATGTGGGGTAGGAGGATACACGCAGATGTAGAATAGAGTTCCACACTCACAGAGCAGTGGTGGGGGTTGAGTGTGGCTCTTTCCAGGTTGAGGCAGAGCTCCTATGTGGAATATACTAGGCAAATGTGAGGGTGTTTCAAATCCAGTTTGGGCATGTGCACGGCCTACAGGTGCAGTGCTATAGCCCAATGTGTCTCATCTCATCCTTTCTCCTCCTCTTCCTCACAGCTCATCTTGCTGTGCAATTCTACTTATCACTTAAATAGACCCAAATACCTTTGTGTAAGGACACTTCTGCCTCAAGACTGTCAAGTTTGTCTCTAATGCCAACATAGAATCCCAGACTGGTTTGGGTTGGAAGGGACCTTAAAGCTCATCCAGCTCCAACCCCTGCAACAGGCAGGGACACCTTCCACTAGACCAGATTGCTCCAAGCCCCATCCAACCTGGCCTTGAACACTGCCAGGGATGGGGCAGCCACAGCTTCTCTGGGCACCCTGAGCCAGGGCCTCAGCACCCTCACAGGGAAGAACTTCTTCCTTACGTCTGACCTCAATCTCCCCTCTGTCAGGTTAAAGCCATTCCCCCTTTTCCTATTCCTACATGCCCTTGTCAGAAGCATTTGTGCTGGCATCTGGAGGATGCTAAACTTGCAGAGACTCCATGTGTTTGTGTTTTGCTAAAATATAGTAACTAAGCAGGACAAGATGATGTGGTTTTGGTTGTGGTGTGAAACGGGAAACGCCTATGTGGGATACTGCAGTATTTCATGAGACAGCCTGGGTGACCTTCGAAGGTACCACCTTTTCCATGGCAGCGGGTGCTCCAGCCCTTGGAGCACCTCCATGGTTTCCTCTGTCTCACTCAAGCAACTCCACATCCATCTTGAGTTGGGGCCCAAGGTCTGGCTGCAGGAGTTTGTTTCCTTTTACATTGGCATAAATGCAGAGTGACACTTTAAAACCTGGACAGATCTAGATTCTCATATAGAAATACCTGGCACCTGTAAATCAGAGCAAAAGCATGTCCCCTTCTTGAGCAAGGAAGAAATTACTTTGCTCAACTTGTTCATGTGCTTAATTCAAAAAGCTTTTTCCCTTCCAGTCAATTACATTCATTTAATTGAAAACATTTTCACAGGAAATCTCAGCTTGATTTGCTTTCCTGATTTGGGATCATTGCATTGCTTTTTGCCTAATCAGCAATTGATTTGCTTGAAGCTGCTGTGCTTGGAGCTGGAGTAGCTGAACTGTCTGTTGTGGTCAGGGTTTGAGTAGCTGCTGTACTGGTCGTTGGGGCTGATGTAGCTGCTATACTTGGAGTTGGAATGGCTGCACTGTCTGTTGCGATTGAAGTTTGAGTAGCTGCTGTACTTGTCACTAGGGTTGGTGTAGCTGCTGTGCTTGGAGCTCAAGTAGCTGCATTGTTGGTTGCTTTGCCATCAGATCCAAAGACATTTTTTATCCTTTGAAGGTGCTGGACGGTGTTGAACAGGGCTCTGTAAGCATGGGCCAAGCTCCATCACATTCCCGTGATTTGTCCGTCTCTTTTATGACCGGGATGACAACACACCTCATTTAAGTGTTCTACTAATATTTCTGGAATTTGCACTTGTTCAGTGGTGAAGTTCCAAAGCTCTGGAGGGGCCCACTGGCCTAGGTACTTGCCCATAGTATCCTGCACACCCTGCCACTCATGGATGTCCAGCCTCAGGGAAGATCTCTTGGTCCTCTTATATCATCGTCTAACCCTAGTCAAGACCCAAACCTGACTCTGCTCAACTCTTGGGACCAGACGAAATGGTCATGGGTAAAACACACTCTGTATGCGTGCCAACATTGTGATCCCCATCACAATCAGCAGGCAGGTCCCAAGGGTACCTAAAAGCCATTCAAAACCTTCAGCACTCTCAAATGATGCTGTACAGGGTCTGGTGGGCAAGCTGGGAATGTAAGGATATGTCTCCTTCA